GCCAGGCCTTGTGCTGAGAGCATCCTAGTGACGATCTCCCTGATCCTTACAACAGCCCTGCAGGTATTATCACTGTTCCGACTTTGCAGATAGGCACTCAGCCTTAGGGAGAAGAAGTCTTTGGCCCGAGGCCACCCAGCTAGGGCCACGGCTAGAGTTGAACCCAGGTCTGCCTGAGTCAGTTTCCACGTTTTTACCTCTTCTATTAAGACCGGCAGAAGTCAGGGACAGATTTATTAAAATAGTGGACCCAAACTCATTCTTGAAAGACAGGGTTTGTAAGAAAGGAGAGTAGATTCAGCAAATGCAGGATGACATCCCAACTCCTTGTCATATAATACAAGACCCTGTATGGCCTGGTCCCTGTTGTCCTCAGCAGTTTCCCCTTAAGCCACTTGTTCATTAATGATCTGTTGGCTGGTTTTGAGACACGCCAAGCTTTTTTCGCAATTCAGGGCTTTTACCCATACAGTTTCTTCTTCCCAGAGTGCTCCTCATCTTCTTTGTCCTGAATGACTCCTACACATGTCCAGAGGCTCAGGTCAAATGTCACTTCCTCATGGAAGCCTTCCATGATACCCCCTCCCATCTAAAACTAGTCTCCTTACTCGTACCCTGCATTAGTTCACTCTGTCACTCAGGCTGGAGTGCAGTGTCACGATCATGGCTCACTGCAGCCTTGACTTCCCAGGCTCAAGCAATCCTCCTAACTCATCCTCCTTAGACGTTGGGGCCACAGGCATGAGCTACCCGACCTGGCTAATAAAAAAAATGTTTTTATTTGAAACATATCTCAATATATTGCCCAGGCTTGTTTTAGTTCTTGATAGCACAAGAATTGTCTTTAAGACAGTTCTCATAATTATTTGCAATGATGTGTTCAGTGTTCTCCCTCCTACCAAACCAGTGCTGTCCAATAGAACTTTCTGCAATTATGGAAATGTCCTAGATCAGGGGTCTCCAATCCCTGGGCCGAGAACTAGTAATGGTTTATGGCCTGTTAGGAGCTGGGCTGCACAGAAGGAGGTGAGTGGCGGGTGAGCATTGCTGCCTGAGCTCCGCCTCCTGTCAGATCAGCAGCGGCATTAGAGTCTCATAGGACATGAACCCTTTTGTGAGCTGAACATGCAAGGAGTGTAGGCTGAAGAATCTTTTTTTTTTTTTTTTTGAGACGGAGTTTTGCTCTTGTTACCCAGGCTGGAGTGCAATGGCGCGATCTCGGCTCACCGCAACCTCTGCCTCCTGGGAACAGGCAATTCTCCTGCCTCAGCCTCCTGAGTAGCTGGAATTACAGGCATGTGCCACCATGCCCAGATAATTTTTTGTGTTTTTAGTAGAGACAGGGTTTCACCATGTTGACCAGGATGGTCTTGATCTCTTGACCTCGTGATCCACCTGCCTCAGCCTCCCAAAGTGCTGGGATTACAGGCTTGAGCCACCGTGCCTGGCCCTAGGCTGAAGACTCTTTATGAGAATATGATGCCTGAAGATCTGAGGTGGAACAGTTTTATCCCAACCCCTTCCCCTACCTAACCATCCCCATCCATGGAAAAATGGTCTTCCAAGAAACTGCTCCCTGGTGCCAAAATAGTTGGGACCGCTGGCCTAGATGTATGCTGCCCAATATGGTAGCCACTAGCCACATGTAGCTATTGAGCATTTGAAATGTGGTTAATATGAGTGAGGGACAGATTTTTAAATTTTATTTTAATTATTTTATAAAATATATATATATATATATATGTATATATTTTGAGGCAGAGTCTGTGTTGCCCAGGCTGGAATGCAATGGCACAATCTCTGCTCACTGCAACCTCTGCCTCCTGGGTTCAAGCGATTCTCTTGTCTCAGCTTCCCAAGTAGCTGGGACTACAGGCATGTGCCACCATGCCTGACTAATTTTTTTGTATTTTTAGTAGAGAGAGATTTTTACCATGTTGATCAGGCTGGTCTCGGACTCCTGATCTCAAATGATCTGCTCGCCTCAGTCTCCCAAAGTGCTGAGATTATAGGTGTGAGCCACTGCATCCAGCCACGTATTTTAAATTGTAAATTATACTATATAAATGATTTCATGTGCAAACTGTATACTTTAAATTCATCTAAGCTCAAATTTAAATAGCCATGTGTAGCTAGTGGCTGCATGTACTCTTGGACACTGCAGCTCTAGATTGTGAGTTGCTTAAGGACAAGAACCATTCTACCTTACTCAGCTGTAGAATCCTTTGTACCTAGGATAGTACCCAAGCAAATCAGTGAAAGAATTAATGAATGAATGAAGCAATCGGTCAATCAAGATCTGCAAACTTGCTTTCAAGAAATCATCCTAGAAAGAAGAGACCTAGACAAGTCTGATTTGCACAAGGTCACACAAAAAGGGAGAACTGGTTGCAAACTCTCAGCCTCCCATATCTTCTCTATGTGATGCTGTCCCAGAGTGGACAGCATGTGAATGGCAATGGTTTTTTGTGGTCTCAAATGAACCACCCCAGAGCTGTGTGAAGGTGAGGTGCCTTCAAGTGAGAGGAAGGACTATTTTCTTAGACACCCTCACTCCCTTACCCCATTCTCTAACCATGTAAACTACTTAGTGGCTTATAATCTGCTAACACTTGGCCTCCCACGGGACTGAGCCTGTTCCAAAGTCCACTCTTGCCAACCCTCTGCAAGGCACTCTGAATTTTTTTTTAGCCATATTGCTCTCGGGAAATCTGCTGCCTGCAATCTGTGCATAATATACGAAGGGCGTGGTTTAAAAAACATCTAAATCGTGATTTGTAACCCACTCAGATTCATGTGGCCATTCCTTTTAGCTTACTCTTTTTTTAGAAATTGAGGTCAACACATTTCAGGGCTAATTTTGACTTCATTCAAATGTCATTTGGGGTTTGCAGATTAAGATTTTGAGGAGTCTGGTATAGTGAACCTATGTATTTTGTTTTTATAATTTTTCAGATGTAATAATAATAGCTAATATGCATTGAGTGCTTTGTGCCTGCCTTAGCATACATTATTTCATTTGAGCTTCACAATAACCTTATGAATTAAGTACTGTTATGATCTTCATTGTGTAGCTAAGGAAACAGTCTCAGAAAGGTTAAGTCACTTGCTTAAAGTCACACAGCCAGGAAGTGGCAGAGAAGGGATTTGAATCCAAGTATGTCTGATTCTAGAGATAATGTACTTAACCAGTATACAATTTGGCCTCTTTAATAGATGATATATGCACTTATGCCTATTAAACACAGAAAGAACAATCAAGAAACTTAACTCTGGGGAATAGGACTGGGGCTTGAAAAGAAAGGAGACTTACTTTTTATTCTTGTGCTTTTCTTTGAACCTTATTTACCTTTATTTATTGGTATATTGTATTATATTCCTATAAAAAACTAAATGTTTAAATTTAAATAAGTAAAAACTTCCTATTTTTTCTTTTTTTAATTAAGGAAGGAATTGTCATGATAATGTCAGGTCTATATATTAATAGATTAAATATACATGACCCTTTTGCAAAGTTTATATACACATGAATCTTTGAAAAGTTTAATAGGCATAAGTGCATATATCATCTATTAAAGAGGCTCTGACATTATTGACAAATGTATCCCAGGAACACCACAGTTCCAATATGCAGTCTTATTCTGAGTATCAAAGTTCATATTTCCAATACTAAATTATTTTTTATTTGGGGATAATATTTTTATTTTTGAACATGATATTTATTCTCAAAAAAGTATGTTTTCCTTGGGAAATTTGTAATCAGACCATTATACTTTTATGTACTCTTGTATCGACCTCTGGATATTATAACTAAACATGCTTTAGCATTTGTGAAATAATGCTGTATTACATAATCAGATATGCCATTTGTAGATCAATTAGTAAAAGATTTAAAGCAAATTTTAAGTTGATTAAAATTTTAAGTGAAAATTAATTTTACACTGATTGAAAAGTAAACATTGCAATCCCCTTCAGTACTCAGAGCCTCAGAGAACTGTATCAGTCACACTAAAAGTCACTTGGGAGAATTCCTTAGTAGCTTATAGAAAAAAAAATCCACCATTTTTAAAGTCAAGAAAATACACACATACTAACAATAATTTATCCTTTCTAACAAACCCAAAAGGAATCTACTCTTACCACCCAAATGGCTAGTGATTCTAAAAATTCAAACAACCTTCTCCCCCCAGCAATGTTCTTTTTAATGCCCCCTTTCATACTCTTCGAATTTATTTAACAAATCACTATCTGGTTGGGGTAGGAAAAATCTGTAAGCCCCTCTACAAGGCCTCTGTCCTTTCTATTGCTTGGTATTCCCCCAAGATTCTCAGAGCAAATTTGGTTTCCCTTAAAAATCCCCATCCTCAAAGGAGTATATTCCTGATGTTCCGATGGTGAGTCTCACTCTAGCTAGCTGCTACAAAAACCTTTCATTCAGAAGAAGGCAAGAGGTTTCAGCGACCGTGCACAGCCTTCTCATTCACACACTTCATAAACAACAGGACTTTGCCCAACCCTCTCCTCTAGGAAGGCATCCCAGTTTTTTAGCAACCAGTTTGCAACATCAGTATCATTCCCTTCCAAAAGACCTTGCAGAAAAATTATGGATTTCACAGCATAGGATTAGGGCTGGAAAGGACCGATGTCATTGCATGGACTCACCAATTCTGTCCACATTTCAAAACCGCAGCTAATGCTTTCGTAAAGCACACATCTCAAAATCCCTTTAGGATTGAGAGCAATTAAAAGGGAAATCATAAACCCCGTCGTTCCCCATAAGGTCCTGACAGATCTGAAAAATGGAACTGAGTCAGAGATACAGAAGCTGGGCTGCTGGGGAAGGAAAATGGCTTTTCTCCTCCAGGCCTTAATTCCTTCCTCTGAAACAGTTCCCTTTAAATTCAAGAAGCTATGTAGAGATGCACCCCCCACCCCCCTTGCAGGTTTTCGTTTTTTAAAAGAAAGCCTGTCTGCCTCTTGCTCGCCCCCATGATACTCACGGCAGCTGCCTTAGCTGGAATAAGTCCTCCTCCATGTCCGCGCTGCGCCAGGACGAGCCCTTCTCATGGCCCTTACATGGTGGTGGTGGATGACGAGCCCTCCGATTTTCAGCACCGGGATGCTGGACAGCACCCGCGCGGCTTCCTCCCGCGGGCAGCAGCTGTTGGGGAGGGAGCCGCTGGGGACCAGCCCACGAGACAAAGCCGCCGCCGCCAGAAGACCGCGGCGAGAGTGGGCGGAGAGGAGGAGGCGGAGGGCAGAGCGAGCTGCGCGCGGAGAGGGGGCAGGGAGAGCCTTTCTGCTCGGAGGAGTTCACAGGCTCTCTGGCTGGTGGTGCATTACTGGGATGCCTATAAGGCACACCAGTCTGTGAAATGGTTGTCCGGATACCAAAGAACACCCTTTCGTTGACGACGCCTGTCTAAATGTTATTTGCAAGGATTCATTAATGTTATCAGTAATCACTCTTGAAACCCGGGCTGCTATAACAAACACAGCCATGCATTTAAGTACTGTTTCTTGAGCACCTGTGTGCCAGGCACTGTAATAGGCACTGGAGGTATGACAGACCAACCCAATCTGTCATTGTCATCGTGGAGCTGAGGGTCTAGTGAAATGAATCAAGGAAAAAAATGTCAGTTAGGTATGAGAAGGCCAAAGATCACTCATTCTTTCAACAAGCGTTATTGGGTGATTTCTACATAAAAACATGAATAAAGTAAAGTCTCTGCCCTCAAGATCCTAGTTCAATAGTTCCCCCAGCCCACCTCTCACTAGAATTTCTGCCCCCTTCAGAACTTAAGCTCCATTAGGTTTCACTGATGTGTCCCAAGTACTAGAACAGTATCTGGCACATAGAAGGTACTCCGTAAATATTTGTTGAATGAATGGTTCTCAATTCAGGCTGCATATAAGAATCACCTGGCTCTATCTCAAACAAATTGAACCCAACTCTCTGGAGGTGGAGGCCAAGCCTGGGTATTTTTTTGCTTTTTCAATATTTATTTATTTATTTTTGAGACAGGTTCTTGCTCTATTGCCCAGGCTGGAATGTAGTGGCATGAGCACAGCTCACTGCAGCCCCGACCTCTTGGGCTAAAGGAGTCCTCCCACACCTCAACCTTCCGAGTAGCTGGGACCACAGGCTCATGCCAGCTAATTTATTTATTGTAGAGATGGGGTCTTGTTATGTTGCCCAGGCTGGTCTCAAACTCCTGGACTCGAGCAATCCTCCCATCTCGACCTCCCAAAGTGCTGGGATTACAGACGTGAGCCATTGCACCTGGCCTCAGGGGTTTTTTTTTTGTTGTTTGTTTCGTTTTTTTGAACTGGAGTTTTGCTCTTGTTGCCCAGACTGGAGTGCAATGGCACGATCTCAGCTCACTGCAACCTCTGCCTCCCTGGTTCAAATGATTCTCCTGTCTCAGCCTCCTGAGTAGCTAGAATTACAGGCATCTGCCACTATGCCCGGCTAATTTTTTGTATTTTTAAAAAAGACTGGGTTTCACCATGTTGGCCAGGCTGGTCTCAAATTCCTGACCTCAGGTGATATGCCTGTCTCAGCCTCCCAAAGTGCTGGGCTTACAGGTGTGAGCCACTGCGCCTGACCCAGGGTATTTTTTAAAAGCTCCTCAGCACCACGAAGTGAAAACCACTGATCAAGTGGGAACAAATGAAGAGAAAAGCAGAAAAATGATACAACAGAAAAACTGCTAAGATAATCCGTGATGGCAGCTGGCAGGAGCTATGAGGATGATAATTGAATGGAACTTAAAAGGAATTAAAGGAAGAAGGAAACTCTTTTTTTTCTTTCATTGTTGACAAAGAGTGGGGGAAGTTGGAAGAGGGTACAAGAAAACAAATCTGAGAACTGAAAATAATCTCATACCAAATCCATAAAAGGACTTGAAAATCCAAATTGAATGTATGCCAGGCCCCTGGCTGTGTATTTCACCGTGGTCCCCCTTGATCTTTGCAACAATCCTATGAAGCAGGTGTGATTTTTATTTTTATTTTGTAAGATGAGGAAACAAGGCTCAGAGAAGGGTAGGTTTGCTTGCACAAGGTTACTCTGACAGGAAAGACTTGATCTGGACTTAAAACCCGGGTGGTCTGTCTCCACAGCCTAAGCTCTTAATTGCTAGGCTTTCTTTGAGTGTCTCAAAAGAAACCACCTGTTGTGGGTATGGTAGGAGAAATGGAAATTATTGAAACATTGGATACTTTAAGCAAATCGAATGTTGGGAAAACTAATTATATGGTGGTACTCAAGCTCCAATGTGTTGTTTATCAAGGAAATATTAATGGAGCAATAACTATGTGTCTGTCACAATAATAGTTTGAACTTAATCCTGGCTCCTTCTCACCTCATACTGAAGAGTCAGTCACAACTTGCCCCCACTCACACTTATTTCTAAAGGAATCTCCCCATCCCTGCTGTGCACTATATTTGATATCACATGATTCCTGGCCACAGCTGATTGGCTGAGAGGGTGGACACTTGTCTACAGACATCCAATCCAAACACTTGTCAGTAGCCCCATTGTGGCATTGCTGGGAGGGGGAGCTGAGCAATCTGGTACCTTTCCAATGGTGGATTCAAAAGTCTCTGAAGGCTTTTGCTCTAACCACCCCCCTTTTCTCTCAATCCTGGTGTCAAGTGGGGCTCTCCAGGGCTCTATGAATATTCATTGCACTTATTATAAATAGCCCCTTTAGGGGCCAGGTGTGGTGGTTCACACCTGTAACCCCAGCCCTCTGGTGAGGGCTCTCTTCCCAGCTTGCAGATGGCCATCTTATCTCTGTATGCTCACATGCTCTTTCCTTGGCACATAAGCATAAAGAGAGAAAGCAAGCTCTCCAGTATATTCTCCTTTAAGGGCACTATTTCATCATGTCAGCCCCACCTACATGACTTTCTGTAACCCTGATTGCTTCCCCAAAGCCCTTTCCAAATACACATTATGGGGTTAGGGCTTCAATATATGTATTTGGGATGGACACAAGCATTCAGTCCTTAACTATGTATCATAACGTTTGAAGTGTACAGTTTAGTGGCATCAAGTATATTCATTACGTTATATAACCATCATGCTATTGAATTCCAGAACTTTTTTTATCATCCCAAAGAGAAACTCTACCCATTGAGTAATAATTCCCTATTCCTCCCTCATCCCAGGCCCTGGTATCCTTTATTCTATTTTCTTTTTTTATTTTTATTTCTTAGAGACAGGGTCTCACTCTGCTGTCCAGACTGGCATGTAGTGATGCAATCATCATGACTCACTGCAGCCTCAACCTTCTCAGCAATCCTCCTGCCTCAGCCTCCTGAGTAGCTGAAGCTACATGTTCATGCCACCATGCCCAGCTAAGTTTTATTTTTATTTTTTGTAGAGACAGAGTCTTGCTATGTTACCTAGGCTGGTCTTGAACTCCTAGCCTCAAGTGATCCTCCTGCCTCAACCTCCCAAAGTGCTGGGATTACAGGTGTACACCACTGGGCCAGGCCTATTCTACTTCCTATTTCTATGAATTTGCCTACTCTAGTTACCTGATAAGAGTGGAATCATACAATACTTCTTTGTTTTTTGTGGCTTATTTCACTCAACAAATGTTTTCAAGGTTCATCCGTGTTGTAGCATCTATCAGAACCTCATTCTTTTATATGACTGAATAATATTTCTTTGTACTTATATGGCACATTTTGTTAATCCATTCATCTGTTGATGGACACGTGGGCTGTTTCCACCTTTTTGGCTATTGTGAATAATGCTGCTATAAACATTGGTCTACTGTGTATCCCTTTGAGTCCCTGTTTTCAATTCTTTTGAGTGTATAAATAGGAAAAGGGTTGCTGAGTCATATGGTAACTATGTTTAAGTTTCTGAGGAACTGCCAAACTGTTTTCTACAGCAGCTGTACCATTTTACATTCCCACCAGCAATGTACAAGGATTCAAATTTCTCCACATTCTCCTCAACACTTGTTGATAATAGCCATCCTAGTGAGTGTGAAGTGGCCTGATTTGCATTTCCCTAATAACTAACAATATTGAGCATCTTTTCATGTGCTTATTGGCCATTGGTGTATCTTCCTTGGGGAAATGTCTATGCAAATCCCTCACCCATTTTTTAATTGGATTGTACTAGGCCGTTTTTGCATTGCTGTAATGGTAGAATACCTGACACTGGGTAATTTATAAAGAACAGAGATTTAATTGGCTCACAGTTCTGCAGCCTGTACAGGAAGCATGGCGCTGACATCTGCTTCTGGGAAGGGCCTCAGGAAGCTTAGAATCATGATGGAAGGCGAAGAGGGAGCAAGAGAGAGAGAGAGAGAGAAAGAGAGAGAGAGGTGGTGCCACACACTTTTTTTCTTTTTCTGAGATAGAGTTTCACTCTTGTCACCCAGGCTGGATGGAGTGCAATGGTGCAATCTTGGCTCACTGCAACCTCTGCCTCTCAGGTTCAAACAATTCTCCTGCCTCAGCCTCCCAAGTAGCTGGGATTACAGGCATCCACCACCATGCTTAGCTAATTTTTGTAATTTTAGTAGAGATGAGGTTTCACCATGTTGGCCAGGTTGGTCTCAAACTCCTGACCTCAGGTGATCCACCCACCTCAGCCTCCCAAAATGCTGGGATCACAGGTGTGAGCCACCACATCCAGCTATCACACACTTTTAAACAATCAGATGTTTCGTTAACTTACACATCACCACAGGAATGGTGCTAAGCCGTTCATGAAGGATCCACCCCTATAATCCAAACACCTCCCACTAGGTTCCACCTCCAACACTTGAGATTACATTTCAACATGAGATCTGGAGGGGACAAATATCCAAACCATATCAAATGTCCTTGAGATTTGAAAATATTAATGTATAATTAAAATGTTGGCTTGCTGTGGTCTTTACCTAATTACATGGCATTCTTAGAACTGCTCAGCCATGAATCATGTCAGGTTTTCCACCTTCTAAGAGAAGCTTCTGATTGCCACAGTACATCTTTTTAAACCAGCTTCTATGGATCATGGAGAGGTCCCACGGAAAGATATTGGTTGCAGTTTGGTCCAGATGGCTAGCTCTGGACCAATCACCTGTGGCCAGTGTAAGAATTAAAGAAAGAGGAAAGAAACATGAAAAGTGGTTCAACAGTTAAAGACAAGTTTATTTTGGAGAATAAACCTGAGAGGGGCTTCTGGACAAGTTAGGTCAGAGACACTCTCTCTTACAGACTAAGAGTTTTTAAGGGTTCAGGGTGGGAGAGCTTATCACAGGCTCAGAATGTTTCTGTGTCTCTTTGTCTTGCTTATCTGGGAAGGAGAGTTGTGTATCTGCTCCCATACATTTTCCTGCCACTGCAAGCATATCCCCAGCCCCTCGAGTCTGCATTTAGCTTCCCTATCTTAGT